AGACTAATAAAAGAATAAATATCAAACCAGAAATTGCTCTCTTCAAACTGTAAATTATAAATGATCCTGAGAGAATACTCAGTGTGTTAAGGATTTCCCTGCTGTACTGTTAGCTCTATACAAGAGAGGAAGGGCGATTCTTTTTTAATTTCCATTTCGCTGACACCGCTTTAGCAGAAATCTCTCTTTAGTCGTTTTCGTCGACAAAACGAATAGCAATATCGCTCTCCGAGTATTCCCCCATTTTTTTCTGCTTCAATTCGTGAAGGATGCGTGGCTCTGAGCGTGGGTCATCCACGTGGAACACATTCGCGCTATGTGATTGGCTGTTGTCTAATCCCCCTTGGGATCTGTGTGTCTTAAAAATAACTCGAGACGAATTACCTATGGAATAGGGTGTGTATGGGGGATGCCTTCTCTGTCCCCTTTATCCTCTCTTGCTACCGGTCACACTTCCGCAGGCCAGTGCACAGCGATTTTGTGGTGTCTCAACTCATTATATCAAACGTTACAAACAACTCAACTGTTAGGCTATCAAGTTTTCAAAACCTCAAATCAATTACAATCCGTTTAAATCTACGTTTGTCCATCCGTAGACTGCAAAACAGTCCGTATTTTTGCGTATTCAAGTACGCGCGAGCAGTCAAACAAAAGGTCTGGAACGAGGCTGAAAACAGAGAGCGAGACTGGGAAGAGACGCTAAAAATACTCCTCTCTCGCGGGCGTGTGAGGCTCGCGTGCTTCGCACGCGTAAGACTCTTACGCCACGCTTTACCGATTTCTTTGCTCATTTTGAGAAAAAACCCCTCCATTCCTCCTTTTGTTTTTGCTGTGTTATTTATACCTTCTTTTAACGTTTTGAAAGGTTATTGTTATGTTTCACTCAGTACCCACTGTTTGAATTTTGACAATTTCCATGACACAGTTCCTTCAATTCTTACTTCGTCAAACTCTTCTTGTTCGGCAGTTACTACTTAGTCTAACTTGAGTTCTCATTTTGTTTATTCTAGTATTCTGTTTTGACCTACCTGTAAAGTTGGAACCTCCAGTTTAACTGGTGTTAAGTTTACGCTTGCGAATCGTCTCAGTGCTAATGCTTTGACCTGATGCGCCAGAAAGATGGGAGAGTGATAAAAAAGTGGTGTCAAGACCCTTTTTTCATGGAACGCCAGCGAGCGCTTAAGCTCGTAGAAACTAATTCTAGCATTAGTGTTTGATGGCAGCTACTTGGAGAGCCTCTTGCTTGGAGGTGGACGTCGCCGAGGATCTCTGGCGACTCAGTTGAATGTTAAGAGAATCGACACAATTTTTAGAGAATATGGCGAAAAATTCACATGTAGGGTTATTTCAGAAGATTTTTCGCCGATAAAACCTTTTGGTTCTGATTTGATCTCGTTTGCCCTCCCTCCTGAATCTGACCGTTTTCCAAGACGTACCTTTCAAGGAGACAAAAATAGAACGTTACCGACAGACGAAAGACAACGACTTGACTACTCTTTAATGAAGCCTCCAAGTAGCGTTTGGAAATAAGGCCTTATCAGTTAGAGGGCGCTTATTACAAAGAATACCCTCAGTAGAATGAACTAGACAGTTCCAACCTGCAAAATGTCAGTGTATAACTGAATAAAATTTCCATGTCGTTCTTTTGGTTTTAAGAGCCTGGGTAACGTTCTCACAAGTAAGGCATGGCCGGCATTTGCGCAAGACACTGACTTTTGCTTGCTGGCAATAAAGCCCTGGGGAGACTCCCATTTAGAAGTGACAGGGATGCCCCTCGTCTCGCTTAAGGGTCTTCAGGGTTTTTGGGACGAAAAGGTACTATATTTATCTATTCAGGAGCCGGCTGTGCACAAAGGAATTTACCGAAAATGCTATGATGTATGTTTTTAGAGGTCAGTTTTAAACTTAAGCCCACCTTTATTGGTCCGAGGCTCCATTAAGGGTACAACTTTAATTTTCTGACCAGCATCCCCGTCACTTTTATATGGGGTTCCCCCTGAATAATAATAGGGAGCTCAGTGAGGCCCTCTCCCTTTTTATAGGCCTATACGCTAACAAATTTGTATTCCTAACTTTCTTTTTTCTAATAATGATGATTTACTCGAAAGTTTCAACCAGGAGAGAGAGAGAGAGAGAGAGAGAGAGAGAGAGAGAGAGAGAGAGAGAGAGAGAGAGAGAGAGAGAGAGAGGAGCGCGTTGCTTGACAACAGGAATATGGCTCTGTAGCATGCCATTCCTGTGGCAGATGTATAAATAGAGAATTGGCGGCCTACGTTTTCTCGCTCAGTCGGAAAAAAAGAACAAAAGAAAGAATAAAGTAGCTGCCTTCAAAGGTTTGATTACCAGCCGCTGGTCGGTAAATGAGCCCGTGCTCCTCCACCGAACCGAGAGAGCGGCGGAAATCGAGCCCACTGCCTTCACGACAGGAAATTTGCGGCGGGCCCGACACGGCTTAATTTAAGCGGCGAGTTTCGCGAGTTACGTATTTCTATACAGTTAAGAATTAAAACAGAACAATGGAACAAAGAGGCTTGCGACTTGATCCATTTCCCCCTATTTTTAGGCGTAAATAAGAATACCAGGTAAGGATACTTTCTTCGTTTCAAATATGTTTACCGGAGTTTTTATCTAAAATGAGCCATCCCTCCCCTCAAAATTAGAAGATCGGGCCTTATTGTGGTCTTTCCACCATTTTGTCTTTTTACTGCATAGAAGCTAAGCCCATTTTTAGATTAGGCATTGTTACAGGCAGCCGAATAATAAATCAAAAAATAAATCAATTAATTAAAAGGAAGGAAAGAAAGAAATTGAGAAAAGGAGTCTAAACGATAGATGGCCACTAGTTGTTTTTCATATTATTTATTTGTCGGCAACAAAACGCCAGCTTCAAACGAAGCCCTTAAAACGCCGCAGAAACAAAAAAGGCCACACCGTAAAACTGAAGGCTGAAGCCGAAGTTATAGTAAATAAATCAATAATAAAAGCATTTTTGTGGCGCCATATCCAGGGGCTCAGAGTGCTTTACACAAGAAAATATAATAAATACAAATAATGTCAATAATGTACCAAACGTACTATATTTATCGGTTAGGGCTGCGCACAAAGGAATTTACCAAAAGTGCCGTTATGTATGTTTTAAGGAGTCAGTTTAAAGCTTGAGCCCACCTTTATTGGTCCGAGGCTCCATTAAGGGTACGAGTAGCCACTAGGTGAATTTTAACTTTCTGACGAACATCCTCGTCACTTTTATATACCCACCCCCCCCCCTTCCCCCCGAGTAATAATAGGGAGCAAAGACGTTTTTGAGCGACACGTGTCAACCGGAACTGAGGCCTTCTCCCTTTTTATATGCCTCGACGCTAACAAATTTGTATTGCTGAATTTCTTTTTCCTAATAAAGACGGTTTACCCGAAAGTTTCAACCAAAACATTGCCCAATGATGCAAAAAGTCCACTTCCGGTTGACGTCCGTCGCTCAAAAACGCTGTTGCTTAAGCTCCGTGGTTAATGTCAGCCGTCAAATAAACATAAACAAAAGAAAATCGAAACATTCTATTCTTTTTGTTCTCATACTTTTGTCGGTGTTATTTCTAGCTAGGACGTACTCATTATAAGTACGTTAAGAATCGACAGCGATAAAAGGGCCTTGCCACGTTCATTTAGCCTCTTCTCAAGGTAGAAACATTCTTCATCCTGAGAGCGAAATTTAGTTGCGCCAAAGTTTATTCTTCTTCACCTGGGTGTGCTTATTTATGTACATGGCAAGTGTAAACATCCTTGTGTTGATTATGGCTTGTAAAATCCTTAGACGGTATTTACTTTTCTGAGAAACTTCCCTCCTACCCCTCCCCTAAGTCAACATTAACACTTACTTCTCACTTACGGCAAAATTTTGGCTTAGGGGTGGGGTAGGAAGCCAGTTTCCCAGAAACGTATAATAATCCTATCTTTCCTGGGGGAGACCGCTGCTACCCACCCCTGCTTTGTCGTCACCCTACTCTCCTCAATCTTCACAACGAGAGGAGGGAAGGGGAGGGAGGGGGAAGCGTTGCGTGACGACAAAAAAAGGCTGTGTAGCATACTATTCCTGTGGCAGATGTATAAAAAGAGAAGTGGTGGCCTACGTTTGCCAGCTTAGTCAGACAAAAAAAAAAAACAAAAGAAGGAATAAAGTAGCTGCCTTCGTAGGCTCGATTACCAGCAGCTGTTCAGAAAATGAGCCCGCGCTCTTTCCCCGAACCGAGAGAAAATGGTTGAGGTCATTGTCATCTAGGTCTCCCGAAACACAGACAACGACCACCCCAGGCAAGCATTTCAGAAGGCAGATCCATAGCTGATTGGAGAATAATTTGCCTTTTAGGTAGTTGAATTTGTTATGCTCAAGAGCAAAATATACTAGGTTGGTCCGGCTGCTAATCCCTTCAGACTTTACAAGTATCACTTGAAATTTTTACTTTTGTCACTTATTGCACTGCAAGTAAAATACTAGCCTCATGCGAATACAGCCAATTCTCCTTGCCTCTTGCGGCGAGGAGTAAGGAGAAACGGATGTATAAATACTTTTCCACACTTTTTTCACTTTTATATTGATATATACATGGCCAGATTGCACCGAGCAAAGCAACTCCCTTTCTATTCTTCTTGTGTGATATAATACATTTAAGAAAAAAAGGAGCACGTTACCTGGGAATTTGACTGGGTCAGCGTACCTAAGGCGATCTGGAAAGTCAAGGAATTTTAGAACTTTCATCAATTTTGCACTCAATAATACGCATTTTAATTCCAGTTTTTTTCGATTCTTTGGAATCTTTACCAGGAACATTTACTTACCATTCGCTGTTTGTTCGGGGGAATTTTCGGGAATTTTTTCTTTGAAATTAAAAACTCTCTACTTTGCATGCATTGCGTACCATTTATCTCGGCCCAGGGCTTCTCTGTCGAATAATGAGATTCAAAATGGCGGCAACAAAATAAATATTTATCAACCAGAGGCTATTTAAAGACGTTGTCGTCAGCGCGAAGAGGAAGAGGTTACAATGGCGCAGAACATAACAAATACTTTGAAATACGCGAGGTTCATCGCCTTAGCACATATCATTGTCGGAGTGTTGCTGTTTGTGTTTGGAATCATCGATCGCCTACATGGCTATTTTTGGACAGGGTATGGATGCTTTGGTATTTGGTGTGGAGCTTGGGTAGGTTGATTTGTGCATTTAGGACTTTAATTTTTTTGCGTCAACTCCATAACGCAAGCAAAAGTTATATTTCCGCTTACAACGGACCGAAAAAGTATGCACAAAGCCGTGTGCGCTCGGTATAAACCTGCAAGACGACGGCAGCGTACACTGTAGCATTTGGCGTTCTGACCGGCTGCAGATGCTCTGATTGAACGTTCGATTCTTTTTCGAATACATTGAATGTTGATTTCACACTCTGTTGCTAATGACATTGACAAGGACGAGTTCGCGATCGCCTGTCATATTGATATTTGTTTAATCGATTACTTCTCGCTCGAGTTCACTCTCAACTTTTCCGACTTTTTTTCATCCTCAAGCGGATGATAGTTATGAAGCCTTTAACAACAGCTGTATCTTTCCGTGCACGTATTCCTTCTAAAAATGTAAAAAAAGGGAAGCTTCATTGCTAGTAAGATTGAAGGGAAATTCGAAACTTATTTCTAGTAATTCATTGGGTTCATCGGTTTCCCAGAACAAGTATCTTGGCGCTGCTTCGCAGACATTACTAACCGAAGTTTGATTAAACTTACTAAGCCTTTTACAATGCAACTAAAGCAGCCTTCAATGCGGAACTTGTAAGCTTATTTACATTTGTACTTAATGCCGTGCTTTGAAAATGCCCCAATCACCCTAGCGAGCCTGTCAGTTGCACTCCTAAGTTGTACATGTAATATAATTAAGCTTACAACTAGAAGTATGAATTCAACCTATTTTAGATCAGGTTTATATATCATGTTGAATACAGTACGTGTCAGCATTAATTTTTTCTAAAATATGTACCTAGTCTAGAAACCCCCAAGTTGATATTAAAAATAAAGCGCGCATCCAAATCTCATCCATAGTTAATGGAGGTGACTGGTTATGAAGCCCGGCAAACATCAAAGGAGCAAACATTAAGATGTCAAGATTTATGTTAGAAGGTCCACGACCCTGCACAATCTTTTGTTTTGCGTTCATACGTTATGCATGAATTATGTAACCAGCACGTTTCTATTGGTTAAGTTCCTCAGTACGGAGTAAACAACTATTGTGTTTTGTGCAGGGTCAAGGCCAAAAAAGAGAACAAAAACATACAACAAAGAACTTTGTCGGGTTTCATAACCATTCCCTCATTTAACTATGTCTCATCCAAGTAGGTTGATCTACCCTCGTCCTGGCTGTCTTCAGTCTCCCTGGCAGTAGGAGCAATTTTTGTCTTGTCATGCAACATTAGTACTCCTTCCCAACAACTGGCTGCTCACATTCAAACCACATTCTTTTCCAATATTGTTCTATCAGCCACTGAAATGATCATCAATCATTTATCAACAAATTATAAGAATGACATCAGTTTTCACGCAAAGAATGAGTCTGTGTTATTTCTGGTTGTATGGATTGTGTCCGCCACAGTTCTGTTTTGCTTTCTTGCACTGAATTAGCAGCGATGATTTCTGGGAAAAGCACACTTGCTCTGAGAGGAGCAACTTTAAACTATATAAAGCTTGGTAGAAAATCCGGACAGTTAATTTTCCATTACCAAAATATTTTTTGGCAGGAAACAGCTGATTGATATCACATTTATCACCCTTGTTCGTTGGTCCTGTCACTTTACAGTTGTAGATGTTACATAGGGTCAAATTTGATGTTAGGTTAATTTTTATTTAACCCAGGTTGATTCTCAGTATTCTCAGGAAATAATAATTGAGAATCAACCTTGGTTTAAAAAAATTTAACCTGAAATCAAATTTGTCCTGTAATATGGACATTAATATTATAATTATTTTAAAGCTTGCATGTTTATAAAAAAAAGTCATTGGAATTGCAAGTAAAGAAAAAAAGTATATAGTGTCAAGTGGACTTCAAATTCAATTCTTGGCATGGATATTAATTGTTTGTTAAATTGATGCAATCTTAAGTCTGTTTCATGTGGAACAAAAACTAATGAATGTGATGAGAGTGAACTCGACATCACATATTTTTTGGCGATAGCATGCAGGTTATGATTTTACAGCATGTGAAAGGATAATTTGGCATGAAGCAGTTGCAGGAAATAGAACAGTAGAGCTCTGTGATTGGCTAAAATTGGGAAAGAGTGTGGTTTGAATGTGAGTAGCCATTTGTTGAGAAGGAGTATTGGGTGACAAGACAAAAATAGCTGTGAGGGAGAGACTAGGCTGTCTTTTCTGAATCATAAACGTGTAAAAATTTTCCAGATGTGCATCACAGGAGGTCTGGGGATTCCATCAAGTAATAGAGAGAGGAGCCCCTCTAGCAATGCCTTGGTATGTACTGAATATATCAGAGTTGGTTCATTGAGTAGGTATCTGTCTTCAGGAATGTTTTTGTGTTTTAATTTTTTTTTCTAATGGACCAATTTGTATTAGGAACTTCTTCCTCTTTTGTCTTCTAATGCATAAATGTTTTCAATCATCCAAAACTTCTTGATGACTTTCAGGGCAATCTCCACACAAAATTATAAGCTGATGTTTAATTTGGGTGAAACATTTCTTTAAGTATGTGGCAGAATTACAAAAACTATGCATAAATCATGAATGTAAATTTGTTTCGGCCCAGTTTCCCAGCCTGCGCTCCCCCCCAAAACAGGCGGCTGGATGCATGAGTTTGCTATTGTCAATTACCACCAATCAGATCATGAGCAGGCAGCATAAAATTTATTTTCCTTTGACAAGCAGATTTTAAACAGAAGATTCAAAGAGGTGTTGTTTGATGTAATGTGCGGTCATGTCTTAGAGCATTTTAAGCTTAGAAACCTAATTTAAAAATTTTACAAAGAAAAGCGCTATTGAAAGAAGTTGGTAATTAATGGTGAGTATGTTTTTGAAATTCAACAAACTTTGTTGCCATGGATACAATCACAAATGCTATCATTCAAAGACAAGTTTTAGAAAGTTTTAAATTCTTTATTGAACATTAAGAAAATTCACTAAATTAATTTTCTAGGCTGGCACATTCATGGGTTTTGCCATCACTTCGACCGTGTTTGGTGGCGTGGTCATCATTTGCTACAGTATCTCTGTGGCAATTTACAGCCATGAGCGGCGCTGGTACTGGGAATCTCATCACTCAGAAATGGCCGTTACGGCGATAATCCTAGTTCTTGGCATCGTTGAGTTTGCTATCGGAATCTGGGCTTCAGTCTTGTGTTGCTTGATTGTCAATTGCTGTTCTCCCACTTCTGCTCAGGTAAAAATGAATCAGTGTTTGCAACTTGCTTTTTTATAAATTCCGGACGATTTTTATTTTTATTTTGATCAGATGCTAGGAGAGCGTATAAGCATATAAATTGCAGAAATGATTGACAAGTGCTTTACAGTGGAAGCTCTCATGAGTGGAACCCTTGGGACACGAAAAAGGTGCCCATAACTGGAGCTGGCTGCTTCTGGACATGTAAACATACAGAGTTTTGTGGGAGTTGAGAAAAACGGGGTTTTGTGAAGGTGGCCATAATTATGTAGAGCAGCCTGTCTGTCTATGAGAGTGTCCATTATGAGAGCTTTTTTTAATCCACTGTATTAAAAGCTGGCAGGATAAGCTCAGTAAGTAGAGGGCTGGCCTGCAGAGCAGGATGTTGCTGGTTCAATTCCCTTTAATTCACCACCTCCTGTAAGACAACAACTAATTGCTCACATTTTTAGGTGGTTGCTTATGGGGAGTTCAATACTGTACCCTTTCCGAGAGTAAACTGCTTGAAAACTGTACCGTTGACAGTGGCGCATGCTTATTAACTGTAGTAATAAAGATTGAAAAATCTGTGCAGCATAGTACTTATAAATGTTAATTTCAAAATTGTAAAACGGACGCTGTTATTATAAGAATCTTAATCGACGTTTCGGCAATGCCGCCTTCTTCAGGGTATACAANAAAAAAAAAAAAAAAAAAACAAACAAAAAAAAGGGGGGGGAGGGGGTTCATTCACGTGAAACTAAAGTCTTGGTTAAGGCCTCTAGGGCCTACAGTCCCATATTTGAATATCAACCTCATCTCCTGCTTCTTACGGTATTCCTGGTTGGCTAGGCCTGCCTTCAATACCGCAACCTTCATGTCCTCCAGTGTATGATTTGGTTGGTTGAAGTGGGCAGGTACAGGAAGGTCATTCCTCCCGCTAGTGATATCTCTGCGGTGTTCTCGAAAATGTCCACCAACCTGCGTCCAGTCTCCCCAGTGTACACTATCGATGGACACTTAGTGCACGACAAGCAATAAACCACGTGTTCATTGATGCAGGAAAAATGTCCCATGATGTAAACATGCCCTTTGGGTGTTGTATTGTGGATGATGAATTAACATGGGGACATGTGCGGCAAACGGTCCTGTTACAAGGGAAAGTACCTGGTGATTGGTGTGGAAGGTTTTGAGGTAGGCTGTTTCTGACTAGCAGATCCTTCAGATTCTTGGCACGCCTGAAAGCGTTCAGTGGTGGTTTATTAAAGATCTTGCTTGTCCTGCTATCCTCGCGAAGGATCTGGAAATTCCTTGAGATTATTTTCTCGACAGCAAGGTTACTGGGTTGGAAGGTAGTGACAAAAGGTACTCTATCCTTAGCGATGTTGTTAGCAGCGTCACTCTTCAAAATTTCAGCCCTTGATTTGGTCGGTGCTTCGTTCCCTTCCCCTCCTAATGAGGTCATTCGGATATCCGCGTACTGCAAAAAAGGTCTCCATTTTTGCTGCATTTTTGCGCGCAAGTGTGCCATCAGGCACGTGAGCTAATTTTAACGAACTTTTTAACGGTATTTAGTCTTGTATACCCTGAAGAAGCCAGCATTGCCGAAACGTCGGTTAAGATTCTTATAATAACAGCGTCCGTTTTACGATTTTTAAATTAACACTCATTAACTGTAGCCTGAGAGTGCCTTCCCGGTTGGGTTTGACATAGACTTGATGTACAAATTCTTCACAATTTTATCACACTCAGCCTCATCATTCATTGAAAGTGGGTTGAGTGACTATTGATTTGATATCAAATTCTCTTTTGGTTTCGAAAGCAAGTACATTCAATGTAGAAGGAGAATTTAGCTGTTTAGAAGAAGTTGCTTAGGGCTTTTCACGCACCCCTTTAATATCATATTTAGTTATCTGCACTGGATCAATGAAGTGTCTTTATTTGGCATAACTTTTTTTGCAGACACAAACAGTTATGTATGTCAACGGCCAGGGTGTGGTCCCTGGTGGTTACGTCATGGCACAGGGTCCTGGTGGTGTCCCTATGGCATTTCCTGTGCAGCAAGCCGGAGGTGTCGCTACCGTTCCTGGTGGCCACACCCAGGTGGTTCACATGCCTCCCCAAGGCATGTTCCAGGTCGCTGGCCAGCCTCCGACATACCAAATGTCCACATCTGGAGCTCAGATGGGCCAGGTGCCCACATTTGGAGCTGAGGGGGGTCACCCACCCCCCTATAACCCAGGACAACAAGTAAGAGTAATGCGTTTTGTTCTTGTTTAACTTAAGCAATATTTCCTGTTATACTAAATCGCTGACGGTCTAAAGACGGTTAAACAAGCTTAAACAGACAACAAAATTGTTTCCAAACTTTGCTTCCAAACGAGTTGAACAGCGATATGGCGCGTTTTACCACGTACATTCAAACCTGTCTGGCAACAAACGGAGTTGTAGCAAGTTACGTGAATATTGACTGCTGACTGAATAAAAGGGAGTCATATTCCTTATGCCGGATTTACGTCACTGCAAAAAAAAGTTTTCCTTGGGCCGGCAAAAAAACGCCACGTGTACAGATTTTTTGCGAAAAGTATAACTATTCTCTTCTTTCTGCAACAACTCTCACAACTTGCAAAAACCTCATTTGTTACAAGACAGGTTCGAACCTGAGTGGTAAAACGTGCAACATCATTTTTCAACTTGTTTTGCAGCAATCTTTCAAAACAAGTTGCACGGAATTGTTGCCGGTTTTTGTGTACCTTAGCCACAACCGGAACTCTAAGGCTATACATGTATTTGCATTAACTAAAGTTGAAATGGCGTCTAAGCCCTTTCAATTCGACGCTGTATCACGACTGTTTTCTGCAAAATATCTTTCGGAGAAGCAAATGTTGCCTAGAATTTTCTATTATTTGAGGACGGCTAAAAATTTTCTAGGTGACCGTTCCGTTCATTTTTAGTTTTCGAAACTTATCTAATAAATTCCTACTATTTTCTGAAATTTAATTTTCACATTTTACTTCCCAAGTTAGGGTGTTTTTCGTAGAAAAGGGAAACCTTAAATTTTCGGATTCAAAAATGTGATTGAGAGAGGAAAGGGAAATATAATATTAGGGCCATTTATACGAGGAAAAATAAGACGCGTCTTACATAAGACGCGAACTTTCCGTATAAACGGCACATTTCGTCTAAAATAAGACGCGGCTTAGCTAAGACGCGTCTTATTAGATAAGACATGCTCGTATAAATGGTACAGTTCGCGTCTTATTTAAGACGTGTCTTATGTAAGACGCGTCTTATTTTTCCTCGTATAAATGGCCCTATTGTCTCACTTCAATTGTAATACGTCAAATTACATCTAAAATTTTCGGGAAAATAATACTTATTGCCCTTGTAATTTCGAAAAGACTCAAGGTCCCCTAGAATGACCGAACAGACACAAATTTTATAGCACCACTTAGAATGCCTAAAGAGATTTAAAAGTACTCTAGATAGCCTAAAAAGTGCTTTCGATGTATTTAGGAGGAAACCGTCAATGGGTGCCCCTGACTGTATCAATTTACTTTATTCATTTATTAAATCATACTTGCTCCCTTTCTTCTTTGTAGCTCCCTGTGAAGATGTGATGAAAATGGAGCCTCCAGTCTTTAATGAGTGACGTCCGTTAATGTTTTGTAATGATGCATCGGAAAAATGACTTCAAATCTGCATTCTTTCCCGGCTTAATAGACTTTTTCACTGTATTTCGACTTTTGACATGGACAAGTTAGGGAAAATCCGCGAACATCATTGAAAAGGGCGCCTGAAGATTAATAAAATTGCCTAGTCTGAAAGTGAGTTGTTGAAGACTAACAAAGATATAGGTCCTCAATCAAAGTCGCGAAATTTTACAGCAACTTTTTTCGCAACTTTGCAGAGATGTATCACTTTGAAACATGGCAATTTTACTAATATTAAGGCGGTCTTTCCAGTGGTATCGACGGATTTTCCCTAACTAGTCCACGTCAAAAGTTGAAAAACACCGTGAAAAGGTCTATTAGCCTGAGTGGCAGGCGTTTGAAAGAGAAGGGGATTCTGGACAGGCGAGAAACGTGAAAGGCTCGCGCGCGCGCGAGGGGTGGCCTCCCTTCGGTCCATCGCGCGCGTGGTCTCGCGCCCAACTTCCCTTTCCCTTCTTTTTCTAATGGCTTCCACGCAAGCTAGTTCCTTCCTTTTCCAATTCTAATAATTTTCCGCAAAACCAAACGAGCGGCAAATTTATAAATTATTTATGCTTTTTTTATTATTTTAATATCACGCTTACAGAAGCAAGGTTTTTTATCACTTTTTATTTCCAGCGTTTCAAAGTAGTATTTTTTCTTAAATCTTAATCAAAATTTATGGATATCTTTCCGTTTTTTCATGTGAAAAATGGAAACATCGGGAGGTTTTTTGGTGTCGCGCCAACTAAGTTTGGTAATATTGTGCTACGAGTTATTATTCTTCTTTCCAATTGCCTAAATTGGAAAATTTACTGCGATGATCATTCTTCACTTTTATTTACAACCGCAATGAATTATAAAAAAAAAAAAGGGGCACCTTTTATATACCTTCCATTATATAACGGTACCCCTTTAACATAGTAAGCATAAATCGCGAAAACGGAGGCTTTTTTTTCATTTTCGTGTAAGGGTCGGGTGACGTGCAAACTACTATATTTTACGGTGTTTAACATAAATTCTTCAACCTCGTCTCATGCTTTACTTCAACACCAATAAACAACAAAGTTTTTTTTTGGCAGAATATCAGTTGTATTAGAAAGATGCAGGCCATCTCAGTGGGGAGGGGGATGTGCACACCCTGCCCCCTCCCCCTAGATCCGCCTCTGATAGGGAGCGTCTTTTTAAAGGCCCTTTTAGATACTTAAATGATTAACTTTCCTATTCTCCCTTAAACTTCAACCCTTGAATTCCCAACCCTTTATACTTAATATACCTGAAGCCTAAAAAAGGACGAAGCCTCCCCATAAATGCCAGTTAGAGTGCGTGTCCCCCTCCCGGGGCACACCTCCCGTTACGTTCTTCCTAATACCTAAAACTTCCCACGTACCCTTCCCCTAAGCCAACATTAATACTTTCTTCTCTCTTTGGGCAAAATGTTGGCTTAAGGGAGGGGTAGGTGGCATGGGCAGTTTCCTAGAAACGTATATCATATTAGTAATTATAAATTATTAATGAACAAGGTCACTTGGTCAAGCACCTTAATTCTGTTATCTTTTTAATTTATTAATCCGGACGAAATTCCCCTCAAAAGACTTTCTTTTTATTTATTTTCTTGCAGTCTCTTTCCTTTGCAAATTTCATTGAAAAATAAAAATACAGCAAATAATGATAGTGATGATGATGACGATGACGATGATGGTGATGATGATGATGATGATGATGATAATAAGAAAACAAAATTTGTTTTCTTATTGTTATTATCATCATCATCATCATCATCATCATCATCATCATCATCATCATTCCAGCTTAAATTAAGTCTTAAATTAAGCTGGAAATTGAGCTTTCTTAGTAATTTGACATTGGACGGAGCTGACATAGCATCACTCATGATGACGGAGTACGACTGAAACATCTTTGAATGATGATACGGAAAAGGTATAAAGGCCTCGGCTTCCGTTTTGAATTAAAGGCGAAGCGATCCGCTTTACACTGTGGCTTCCCTATCGAGGAAAAAAAAAAAAAAAAAAGGTATCCCAATATCCTCTCACTTCCCATTTTTCACCTGTTCCCAATTATAGCTGGTCACTACAATTATCATACATCACGTACTTACTGCGGCAGGGCGCTGTTTACATAGTCTTCTGGTATTTTGCAACTGTATCTAGCTCACGAAAATGGCATTAACTGCTAAAATAAAACTACTGCGGATCCTGTCGGTGGTTCAATGCTGTATTGCAGTGTGGTTAGTGGTGCTTGGAATCGTGGAACGCGTTCGCGTTAGATGGCAACAGAGTGGATTAGGAATGCCTGTTTGGTTTGGAATTTGGGTAAGAAAACACGAAAATTGATCCTTATTATGTGGAAAAATCTTATTTTGTTTGGAGTTTCATCGTAGATTTCAGTTTCAGTGAAAAAGAAAAAAAAAGATAATGAGTAATTAACTGTACGTTGCTTTGAGAAGTTTTATAACTTGTGGTTTAAATCAGGATGACAATGGATATCAATTAATCGATCAATAGGTATCCCGTGACTTCGTTCTGGAATAGTCAGTTCGTTCCTCTTAATAGTCAGATCGTTCCACAATTCAGTCAAAACTAATTTCACGAGTCTTAAAGCCTTGGTGTTACCCGATTGTATACCTCGTTCTTTAAGCCAAGAAGCAAAATAAATAAATAAATAAATTCCACATTAGTTGAAAAAAAAAAATACTGCACTTTGCCTTCACATCAAGTCTTACACTAAAACTGTGGAATGACCTGGTCATAAAGTGGAATGATCTTGCTTGGAAACATCTTACCATGGAACGAAGTGACCATAAACCAACCAACACAGCGGAGTCTCTCACAAGTGACCACCATAACAATGTGAAGATTAAGTGGTCGCTTTTGGGAGGTGGTCTCATACTGTACGAGAGTCAACAAGCAGGGGGTCTTTTCCGCGTTCTAACAGGTCCTAACTTATTTGATGTTTGGAAGATAGTTAAATTATTGCATGTAAAATGTTTTGATTGATAAACATTATTGATTGGGAAAGTTGTTTTGCAGGTTGTTGCAGATTATCACTGATTATCAATTTCAGTGATATAATCAAATCACAAAGGGGCCACGGAGACCATACTATGTACACTGTAAGATCGAGAACAGTTTTAAACGGACAGTGTCTTGATTATATTATTCATTATTGTGTTGTATCTGGGAGACTCGCGTTATTATCGTGGGAGAGGTGACATTAACATATTAAGTTGGTCAAACTTTATTGTAACATTATTTTCCCCAGGGACAAATAAGAGTGTTTTTAATAGCAATATGATTATTACCATGGTTGATAATATGGAGGAGAGGTACAAGTTTATCATTAACGCAAAGTGAATTTATATATTGTTTTGCACTTTATTTATAGGTTGGCATCACCGGTGCTTTTGGTATTTTTATCACCTTTAAACATGTTCAGTACACGTCACATGGTCCAGTCATTCTTCAGCATTTGGTAAGCATCATCAGAAATTTCCATTAATTTTTTTTATTAAATATAAATTAAAATGATATAGCCATAACACCCATGTTTTCAAAACACTTAGTAAACAGTCCTTATATATAGATACTTAAAAATGATTTTCCTTCAACTCATGAATTCCCTACTATTTGATACGTGTATGCCTGAAGCCTAAAAAAGGGTACGTCTTTTAGGCAGAGCCCCTCTTTATATACCATGATAGGGATTCCCCTTCCAAAAATTCAAATCCCTTTCAAAACAAATCAGAACTCAGAAGCACAGGTAAATTACTGGTTTGCACGTGACGTACGTCACGGTGACTATGGTGGTGGTCAAGAACAAAATCATTCCTATCCTCTGGGAACTAAACTCTATTTTCAGGTAAATTCTTCAAGAAAAAATTCTATTGTCTTGATCCCCAACATGGCCGCTTTTTCAGGTGGCTGCAAACCAAGAATAGCAACTGTTTATGCTAGCTAATGATACAGCATTTAAGTTCCCTGTGATACCTCTGCATAGCTTACTGAAACAGGCCCTCTAGTCAGTTTGAAGTATATTAATAATTTTAAGGTCTTCTAGGATTTCAAGGGAAGGCTGTTGTGTTAATTAACCAGTAATAGTATACAGATTGAACGAATATAGACTGCTGTGATACAGCCCCTTGAATTAATTTCTATTTATATTTCATTTCTTTACCTTTACAAATGCAGGCCGTGACCTTGATGGGTTTCTCATTGACATGTGGTGTTCTCTCTGCCCTTCTCATCTTCAATTACTCACATGAGCTGTCCATTGCTTCCCAAAAGCAACTCAGATATTACACCCGCATGGGGGAGGAGAATTTTGTTTTACAAAACATTCCTCTCATACCAGATGTAAAATATACCGAAGAGCATACCCTTGTAGGTTTTATATTTGGATTTACAGTTGTGGAGCTGATTGTTGCGATGTGGTCAGTGGCGATCTGTCGTGTTAGCGACCATCAGAAGTCACCCTCTGAGGAAGAGCGGGTAGGTTTCCTGACCCTCCCCACCCACTCAATTTCTTTTAAAGGCAATATATGTACAAACAGTTTTATTCCTAACATAAGCGAGCCCTTCTTGAAAGGGTGGAGGAGTATGGCCCTAGCCGCCCCATGTAAAGGAACCCAGGAAATTTGTGCTTGTTGAATCTGGATTCCTGGGCTTTGGAATCCAGAATACAGCTCGAGGAATCTGCAATCCCACTAATGTTTGTTCCACTGAGGAAAACTAGAATCCAGTATTTGGAATCCGGAAATATCCATGGCATGGAATCCAGAATCCAAGACTGCCATTGCTTCCCTTACATCAGGCAACACTAGTCTGAATTTCAAAACCTGTTGTTTCAGAAAGAAACAGAAGAAAGCCAAATTCCCTATCAATATTTTTCTGTTATGGTTTCGCTGCACTGGTCGACCATGTAGTCGCCAGTGCAACTCCGTGGTAACAGGTTTACTGACTCCTTGGAGGATTTGAACTGTACTGTATATATTTGCCCTTATCTTCATTTGCTGTCGTAATTTCAACCCATTTTTGTTTCATTTGTCACCATTTTATATTTCTTATGTTACTTTTTTAAGGCCATGTCACTTGTTGAAATTTTATTCCAACAGGGTGCCACTTGTCAAAGCAAAAAAGATTCACAAGAAAATTCAATTTTTTTTTTTGTGAAATCCTTAAAAGTAAATATGACCTTATTTCAAAAATTCCACCTAAGAGGAAACTCATTTGAATGGTAGCAACATAGGATTTTGTTGACCCACCAATTTAAAAGTAAGGTTTATAAATACATGTGGTTTCACCGTACATGTGACTTAGTTAAGGGGTCAAAGACTTAAGGAGGGAATTAAAAATTCAGAGTTATGTCGCAAATGTCAAATCAATGATCAACTCAGTTGATAAAATCAAATTTTGGGTACCAGTCCACTGATGCAACAGCGCAGCCGGTTTGTATTGAAACTAACGCCATCACTTGTGGGCATGTTTGACATACCCTTTCATTTGAGATAAAAGCCTTCCTAGAAGAAAAGGTTGAGAAAAATATCCTGATTTGTCAGTGGCTAGCAGATGGCTGAGGCAAATAATTGATCTGTGAGACACTGACAAATCGTGATATTTTGCGATAACCGAGTTCAAATGTTTTTTTCCATTCGATCACCGAGTTTGTTTTTTAATGAATATCTTTGGCAAGCGAAGTGATCTGCCATTTTCACGCAAGAGCGATTGCAAGAAGGAGAAAAGCACGGTTTCATTTACACATGAGCAGAATGTTATTTGCAGCCAATTTACACAGTAGGACGAAATTGCACACGAGCAGACCATAATTTGTAGGCAGTAATTTGCAGGTCACGTGCAGGACTCGTGGCTAATGAAACGGAAGAAACATTCGCATCCAACAATAAAAATGGTTATTTGTAGAGTGAAATAATTACATTTTTAATGGTCGTTTTTTGTGCATTTTATTTTTCTTTTTAGTGTGAAACTCCACTGATCGTGTCACCAAGTTCTCAAGAACAAGGAGGCCAAAGTGTGGCCAGTAGGTTTGGATATACAGCCGGAAATGCCTAGAGACACTAGAGAAGTTGTACGTTTTGATGAGGTGTTGGAACAGAGTTGTAACAGCTACTACGCAAGCTATTGTATATACATACATCACAATCGTTTTACATGTATACTGAGTCAGAAAATAAGACTGAAAATCTCTAGGTTGTCCTGTTTTTTAGTGTCAATGTATTTAGCACGCAAGTACTTAGTGAGGACACTATTTTTACGACCTCTGCTGGAGACGGGACCACCATTTTACCCTGTCATCTGAGCTACTCAAAGGTCTAGCTGTTTGCAGGGCAATGACAGTACCTTCATTTTTCAGTTATTTTAAGACCTAAATACAGTCAACTCTTTTTTAAATGGAAACTTTTGGGACCGGCACTCTTTGTCCATCTTAAGGAGATGTCCATCTTATGCTGAGTCAACTAAAATTAGTAAAGAAAGGCGGGCAATCTAGGTGTTCGTCTCACAGAGGCGTCCATCACACAGAGGTGTCTATCTCACAGAGGTGTCCATCCCCCAGAGGTGTCCATCTCACAAAAGTTGCCATCTCACAGAGGTGTCCATCTCACAGAGGTGTCCGTCACACAGAGGTGTCTATCTCACAGAGGTGTCCGTCTCACAGAGGTGTTCGTCTCACAGAAGTGTCCATCTCACAGAAGCGTCCATTTCACAGAAATGTCAATCTCACAGAGTTGTCCGTTAGGAGGGAGTTGACTGTTTTGGTCTAGTCCTGGGAATCGAACCCGCGACATCCCGCTCTGCAATCAAGCGCTCTGCTGACTGAGCTGCAGTAGTCTTGGTGCGGTTATGGAAAAGACGAAGCGAAGAACTGACGATGGGCAGGAACATCCTCAAGGATTCCGTTTTCAGCAAGTTGTCTGTCTCATAAAGAGTCAATCCCAAAAAAAAAAAACTTAAGAGCAGCAGGAACTAATTCTAGGCGTCCGTTTTAGGTAGTTCTCCATCTTAAAGAAAATTCCACGAATAAGTATTTGACTATGCTATATAATTTCTCAAAGGGAGGAATACCGTAACGTTCTCCATTCATCAGTTAATAAAGGAGTAAGTAACTTGAACAATTCTCTCAAAGCCGTCATCAATTTATCTTGCCCGTCCGCGCGAAATGCGCTTATAAAAACCTAGTACACTATACTGAGTGCCAATTTAGTGTCTTAAACAATTCCATGTTTACTCTAGTTAAACACTTGATGATAGACAATTACAAAAATTCACGCTTAAGCAAAAACCTCCACCTTTCACGCTTGCTTTGCCCACTCTTTGGCAGCCTCGCCACTCATTTGCGCCCTCGCCAGAGGAAACCGCCAGCTCGCCAGGTACGCAGGTTCTTTCCACTTACAATAAGCCCGCTACCTCGCCCACCACTTCCCCCTGCACATCATAAATTAAAACTGCCCCCTTCTAATAAATATTCCTCCCCGCCTTTCTCTATGAGTTACGATACCTAATATGCGCAGTCTACGTTAAATTCTCTGTGTAGACATCAAAAATAACATCGAGAAAGACTCGAATTTTTTGTTTTGTTTTCTCTCTAAAAGACCGATTTCCTGCCAAAAAAACCTCGCGTTGCTTTTTGGTTGCCACACCTGTTGATTGAGTTATTTTACATTGGTATGTCTGCGGTGCGGACGGGCGGGCGGGCGGGCGGACGTACGGTCACCAGGGGCCCATAACCCTCAGCGAGCAACTTCCATGCGCTCTTGTCACGGCATTTTCACGGACCAGTTTATTTTTAGAACGGTTTTGGCGGAAATTTTGAAGATCTTTTAAATTCCACAAACCAGTCAGCAAATACGAAAGAACCGGTGCAAGCTTTGTATACGACATGGATTAAGCTTCGAGGGTTCGACTGAAAGGCCGCTGTCTTGAACAAAATACTCCCCACCCCTCCCCACAGCCACGGGCTCCAAAAACAATAGATATATGGGACCACAGGGTCCCAGTCTCTCAACAGCGTCGGCCTCCTCGAAGCCAAATTATAAGGATTTGTATGGGGATTTATCGTATGTTCGAAAAAGCGGTAAAAATGCACAAAGCTAGAAATGTATGGGCATGTTTTGCAAATGTGCTATGTTTCATTACAGTATTTTATCATAAAAGGGGCAATTCCTTCACTAAAACTGCAGATAACTCACACTGTTATGTTGCTCTGGTTTGAATAAATGTGATTGCGGTCGCGTCAATGGTCAGCGTTGTTACATTACATTTATCATAAATAAAGTATCTATCCAACTCTTCAAGCTTCAGTACACTAAGCTGCAGTTTTGCCATCATCTGGGTCGCGAAAATGGCAATTACGGCCAAAATCAAACTATTAAGGATCGTCTCTGTGCTGCAGTCTTTGATTGCAGCGTTTTTAGTCGTGTTTGGAATCGTGGAGAGAGTGCGTGTAAGATGGTTATACACCGGAGTGGGTATGCCTATTTGGATTGGAATCTGGGTGAGCGGTAGACTATCAACAGCTAAACCTTAATTGTGCACTGAGATAGCGTAAACCACAAGTGAATGCAGATAACAGCGGTTGTGAAAAATGATTATTACTTTTACGTGATTTTAAGCAGATATATCTTATCAAATGCCCTAACGGGCAACGAATTCAATAGGGATACACTCGAACTGAATCTAGGTGTTTAAGAACCCCGGGGGGGGGACTCCCATATGAAACAGACGGGGATGCTCGTCGGAAATTTTGAATTTAACCCCTAAAAGAGACCCTTTGGGGCGTGGCTCAAGCTTTTTGTGACCCCTAAAGGAGACTAATCTGGGCGTGGCTTAAGCAAATTTTGACCGCTAAAAGAGACCGCTTAACCCATTCGCCCGTAACCGCCCGTGCGGATCCAGGTCCTTTCTACCCATTGTGACGTCATCAGTTTTAACGGTCAGGGACAACTTTCTTCGCTAACTTGTGCAGAGTGAAGAGATCTTTCAAACCATACCAGAATGAGCACAATTCAGTCAAGGACACCGGAGAAACAAGCAAAAAACCACGTGACATTGACCTGAAAATCTCCATGAAAATCTTGT